TCAAGTGTGGAAAATAAACCGTTGCCAAGACTGTCGCCAAATACTGTAATGGTGCTGGATAATGCCTCGTATCATTCAGCCCAAATATTTCTTCAAATAAAGAAGAAATTAAAGAATTTCTGTGCGATGTATATTTTGATGAGAGCTACAGGAAAAAAACGACTTCTGGAATTATTCAAACAAAAACATTTTAATAAAGACTACAAAATCGATTCGATACAAACATGACATGACATGAAATCTTGAAATTACCACCGTAGCATTGTGCAGTTAATTAGTTTAATTTAATTAATTTAATACTTTATACTTACTTTAATAATAACACTATTTGACATACGAGGTGTGTTCAAAAAGTAAGGTGACTTTTGTAATTGGCGGTATTTTTTTTTTGTTACATTGATACACATGCCCTTAACATATGTTCACAGTCTCAGTCAGTTTGAACATTTACTTCTTTTTGTGAGACACAAGCATTAGGCGTGTTTTGTGTGCTCGGCGAATTTCTGCTGTCAAAAAAATTGGAACAAAGAATTTGCATATTGAAGTCCAGATCTTTCCCCACTGGACCTTTTTCATGGGGGACAATTAAAGATATGGTATATAAAGAAAGATGCAATAGGGTAAATGAACTACGAAGGTGTATTAGAGAAGGTGTAGTCCAACTAAATAACCCCGATTTTGTTTCTAATGATATAAACCGTATAGAGGTTGCTTATACAATGTGCATTATTCAAAATGGTGGACATATTGAGAACCTTTAGTAAACTTTGTATTTTGTTTTACCTTCGTTTTTACTTTAATTGTTACAGTAACTGTTGTTTGTTGCTTTTACTTGTTAACTTGTTTTAAATATTTAAACTTCCATCATAATTATATAGTTTACTAATATTTAAAAAATGATGACGTTTTACCTACAAAAAAGATCCATCACCCATTGCAAAAATCCTTAAAATTAATTGAAAAGTAAAAATGATATGCTTTTTTAAAATTCTTTAAAATAATTAGGTGGCAGTATTTCGAAAACCATTAGATTTAGGTATAGGACATATATATACCAAATTATAAATGTTTTGATCCGCTTTGAGAAAAAATATCAAAAACATAGGCGTCTTTTTTATAAAAAAAGAATACTGCAGGTTGAAAATAAAAAAAAAGATCTTTAATTTAAGACACCGTGTATAATTTTAATATGTATATATATATATATATATTCTCACGTATTGATTCACGGATGGAAAAATGTGATGACACTATATTCCGGGATATCATCCGTTCGCTCGTTGAACTCCGACTGGAATCCTGCATCCGACTGGAATCCTGCAAATCTTGCATCCGACTGGAATCCTGCAGACGTTTCGCCAAAATCTCACTTGGCATCTTCAATGCTCGCGCTCCGAAAACACTTCGAACAGTGTTCGAAGTGTTTTCGGAGCGCGAGCATTGAAGATGCCAAGTGAGATTTTGGCGAAACGTCTGCAGGATTCCAGTCGGATGCAAGATTTGCAGGATTCCAGTCGGATGCAGGATTCCAGTCGGAGTTCAACGAGCGAACGGATGATATCCCGGAATATAGTGTCATCATATATATATATATATATATATATATATATATATATATATATATATATATATATATATATATATATATATATATATATATATATATATATAAAAGCTACCTTTATTTTCTGGAAGGATTCCCTGTATATATAAAAAATAAATAATTTTAAAATTTAATTTAAATCATAAAACTTTTGACATTAATCTAGAAAAAAATGTTTCACCGATATTTTAATAAAAAATGGTCATGGTCATAATGAATGACTAATAACACAAATATGCGCTAATAAAATATCATTAATATCATAAAAAATTTGCCCTGAATAGTAATGTATGAATTTCACTGTTTATACACTATTTCGTAATTTTAAAGGAATTCCGTAGAATTCCGAGGAATTATCGGACATAATCGGAAATAAAATTATTCTTTGATCAAAGAATCGATATGATGCGACGTTTCTTACGTAATTGGATAGTCAAATAAGGGAACAACAAACCAGTGGAAATCGCGTCTCAATATATTTATTTTTACCTTTAATATGAATGAAACTCAATGAAAAGAAAAAGTTGATTTTTGGAAAAAAAATCCATACATATTTTAAAATACACACATAGCTAGTCGTTTTAGTCATTATTTTAGGTTAATTGAATGGTTAGTTCGTGATCTTAATTTTAAAACATCCTGTGGAACAATTACCCTACCATTTTTTTCAAAGGTTCCGGTGTTTTTGTACATCGGTTCATTTATACGCGCAAAATAAACACGTCAATACTTTAAAAGAGACACAATACCCATACTAGCCAGCATGTTTTCCTGATTTCGCCTCATCGGAAGTTAGGAGTATATGTTATATATTTATATATGTTATACATTAATAGTCCTCATGACGCTATTCATTAGCTTAATTGACAGTATGGACCCCTCTATGCAAGCAGTTACTAGAGCCAGAGGTGGCGATACAAAATAATAGGTTAAGTTTGTTGTAAAAAAATATTTCTTTAGGTTAGTTAGATTGAAATTAAATTGGTTTATTATAAAATAAATAAATTTCTTTTAAACCGATGACAATGACATGTTTATGCGGATAAAGAGATGAAACAAAAAAACAAACTGTAGAGAATAATGTTCTTAACGAATATGAAAAAGAAATAATTCCGTAATAATTCCACAGGCTGGTTCAACTGTATAATGAGTAAAACGCCAACATTTATCACACGATGAAGTTTTCTAAAAAAATTATGAAAGTCAGTCTAACAACAAAGCAGTTGTGATTCCTGAAATTTTGCCAAAACTTTCAAGTTTTGCGATTTTTTTTGCACTAGAGTGTATTTTTTTGTTTTAATTGCGGTATACATTTAATTTTTGATAGTTTGTTTACATTTCTCTCTCTATCCATTTTATTTCTTTGTGTTTTGTTTGTCAATAAAAATATTCTGTTTCTGGACAATAAAGCACGCTTTACCATCATTATCTTGCCAAAATCAAGCGAGATACGTAAAATCTTACGCGCAAAATTGTATTCTTAGTTTAAAATCGACAAAAAATTCGAACATTTAAAAAAAGTCAGTGGCGCGCTAATAACAAACGTATAAATCATTTTTTAACCGCGATCTCGGAAAATACTAGATACCAATTACAACTCGTAATTGCTTATAATCGCGAATAAAAACAAGTGCCCGGTTCATTATGGAGATTAATGAAGCCCGTCCTAGTTACACGCTTCGCCTTAATAACGGGTTAGCCATTGCCATTAAATCAATAGAAACCGATCTTTTCTACTTTTAGGAAGCACTTAAATCGATTCTGCCGCTGTTTAATTAAAGTAATAGAAACGTCCCGTTGCCGCGGATATTGCAAGACTTTTGCATATATAAGTAATTATTACTAAATTGAATATTGATATATGGAAATGGCGAACGGCCGATCGCCGCCGTCAAAAAGCTGCTTGCATAGTTTAATATTTGCGATGGATTACACAAATTGGATTACGGTTTGACAAATAGGTACCCAAAGGTTTGAGACCTCTGTGGGTCTTCTTGGTTTGTGTTTTCAATATGGATCTGGTTCAAGGATTCAAGGATGGTCTTCTGCACGTCCATGATTGCGCTTAGTCGTTGGTTGTTTACTCGATCCATCCTTGATTTAACGGCCGCTCTGCAACAGAAGTTTATTTCTAAGGACAGCAGTCTTCTTTCCAATGCTTTGTCTAGTTGCCATGTTTCGCATCCATAAAGGACTATGGGTGTAGATGCAAGTCTTTTGTTAAAATTCGCTGTGTGGTTGAATACGTAAGGCCCACTTGCTGCGATGGATGATCGATGACGTGTTTGGATCTTCGGCTACACTTTCGCGAACAATGACAATATTTGATCTGACCGACCTGCTCGAGCACGTTGAGGGACTTTAAGGTTAGTTACAGATCCAGTTTGCTCAAATTTTTGAACCACATTCCCAATTATCCTCTCAGAAAGTCGACTATTTTCATGATAGGCTTGAACAATTTTTACATATTGTTCAGTCGTATATTGCTATATGACTAATTTTGTTTATGTTTTGAGGTTAGAAATATCATCTAATAATAAACAAATACAGTGGCGTTTCAAAAATATTTCAGATTGTAATGTGGAAACTCTTATTGAATCACCCGTTAGTTCCGGGATGGAGGGTCTTCTAACATATCGCCTGACGTCAGAACCTATTAGATTTTATTTGTTTCAGCGCTCTATAATATATTACGCCATTTATAAATTCCCGTTTCACCATTTCAATTTAAATGATCTTGAGCAAGCTTTAAATGAAGTTTGATGTTCTTTGAAGTTACTTTGAGGTTACTTTACTCGAGCCTTATCCGAACCGTCCTTGTTCATAAGCAATTACTCGGCAGCTCTATTTTAATGAACAAACAGATATTGCTTTACTTCTGTTAAACGACTGATTAACGTATTTATAAATAATAATAATAAATCCAGAAACTCACCAAAATGTTTCCGGAAAAATATAAAGCAAAATTTTATTGAAAGTTTAAACCGGCTCTATTTCTATAACCTTGACTGCATGTCTTCCAAAATGTTGGATAAAATAACTTCATGATACATAATAATAATGTCGAAGGATAGATCTATTGCTGTCAAGTAAAAGGAAAATACAATGACAAGGACACACGCCAAAGCAAAGTCAGCCCAACGAATTCCTGAAAAACAGAAAAAATCAGGAGTTCTGTTAGAGAGAGAATAATGACAGGTCTACTGTTGGAGTAAAAAGGCAGTGAAGCTTAATGGGATGGAAGAAAATACGGAATTTGACAAGAGCCTCTCACGCGAAGGCTTATAGTGCATTTTATATGATTGACGTAACCCAATTAGAGGTAACCAGTTACATCAATGAGCCATATAATAATGGATAAAGTCACAATAGATCCTCTGGTTCGGAAGCTACTCACCCTCCTTCCAGCTTCGTTGTTGTGCAGATTCATGAGTGCCCTTCCCTGGTCTCTGCCGCCCTTTTTATATTTTCTTTCTTTTTCTCGGACGTCCACGAAGTTTTGGGCGAATCTGATTAGAGAAAAAGGACATTTGAAATCACAAGCTCGCAAATTATTTAAAAATATCAACAAAAGTTGCAAAACCGCTTAGTTAACTAAACCTGTGCTGCATCTAACGTTCAAAATAATCAAAAATAATCACAATTACAATTTCAGAAAATCATGTCAGGATTTATGAAAAATCCGTCAGATTTTCTGACTTAACGTCGGAATTTAAGTATAAAAATAATCAAATAAAAAAAATATAATGACAAACACACATACAATGTTATAATAACAATTATTTACTTCATAAACAAAAGGTTAAAACAAAGTATTTATACTATTCTATACTATACTATTTATAAAGATTTTTTCAAGAGATATTATTTTCATCTTATTTCAAAAAGTTGTCAAAGACTCACATCACCTCACATCCGTAATGTATATATGGTGACCTAGAAAATTTTTAATATTTGGTAAAAGGTCTATGAATTTTGTTTCAGTTATATAAGTTGTGTTAAGTTATAAAGTTATTGTAATCTTTAAATAAGTCGAGCTGACATATGAACAAACTTGGTTCCATTCAAATATCTCAGAGTGCCATGGACTGAAGAACCAGCTGGGAAAAAAAGTTCTTCCGTCTTTTTCCTAATATCTTTAGTATGGTGTGATATTAGAACAACTATTTTTCATTTCTCGTCCACACTAATACACAAATAATCCAACTTATCTCAATTTTTCTTGTCTTTTTGCGCCTATAACGAGTACTATGATTTTTTTTGCCTAATCGGTTGCTCTAAAAGAATGATTATTAAAGTACTGCCAACCTGCCTCTATTGGCTGGCAAGTATTTTTTGGTTCTTGGTTTTTATTGCGGCGATATGAATCTTAGCACAAAGAAGAGAATGGTCAAGTTTGGTAGCATTTCAGCGCTTTCGTGGGTAAATTTTCCTAGTTTGTAGTAGTTGTCTTTGCTTAACTATGTAGAAGAATTGGAAGTATTATGACTTAATGTAGAGAAAAACGTTGCTAGTGCTAGTGCTTAAATAAATAACTCAATAAAGGAAGAATGCAAAAAGTGCCAGTGAAACATAAAAAATTGCAACAGTATTTAAAAGTTTGGGATTTGCGAATTTTACCTTCTCAAGAAAGCAGTCCAAACACTAGGTCTTATCAAGCAACGTAAAATCAAAGCATCGATTAGTCGTAGTTTAGAACCAGTTTCCTATATAGTGAAAGGCTAATATATGGAACAAATTCATTGAAAAGCCAGGTATTGTAATTCCATCATGCATCCATCATAATTTTTTCTTGTGCATCTTTTGCAGTAAATTGAAATATATGTGGAAGTATATGTTGATACCAAGTTCATTTTTTTAAATGGAACACAATTTTTTTAAATATATTTTCGAATCCTGTATCACGAACAATTCAGGTAGCATACCCCAGCTAAGCAAGTAGTACTATTTCTATCGATAAAGAAAATAAATATGGCGCATCTAACTCAAACCCAAAGAATTGAAATTGAAATTTTATCGGTTATGGAGACAAAGCCAGAACTCAAGAAGTTTGTAATTTGTTTAACGCAAAATATCCATATCCAAAGATCACACGACCAAAAATTGACAGAATTTAAAGGAACGGCACATCAAAGGAATTATTTTTTCAGGTGTTAAAATTTACAGAAACAGGGCATCAAAGAAATTATTTTTTTATTTGATAAAAATGAGCACCATTAACTTCTTAAGAATATTAAAACTTAAAAACCTTTTCAAATGATCACTCAGGTCATTTTACAAAGTTAAATATATGCATATTTAATGATAAAAAGGAACAAAAGACGAAAAAAATTGCGTGGCAAGTTCAATACAAATATTTATGATACCGCGAAAGTCAAAGGGATATTTGTCCAACATGAAAAAATTGAAGAGATTAGACGAATTTTCAAATAATAAACACATCTTTAGTTTAAATTTTGGTTAGACTCCAGAGGATAATTCTACGAAACTTGCAAGAACCATCGCCTTGTTCACGGTCGATAAGATTATTTTTAATAAGCTTTCGTGCAGATACACGCAAACCAATATAATTCAAAATCGATAAAGGCAACGGATGATTAATCTAACATGAAGATGATGAATGATGATTAATCTAACAAAACTAACACAGTCTACTTGCCAATGTCCCAGAAAAAATATTGAGAAGGGTCATGCAACCACTGTAGGTCTAAATCCCGACTGCTTTGCGGGGATTATATTGAAGTAGCTATCCAGCTGGTTTTTCAATAATTTTCTTTACGAACTTTGAAAATATTGGCAGAATACTTATAGGCTAGAGGTTCTCAGCTGTAGCAGGACTAGGAATTTCCGATTTTTCTAGACAGAAATTTATGGCATGTGTAAAGTTTGGTAGCAAAAATGGTAGAAAGAGCCCAATTGTAAAAATATTAATACTGTCCATTGCGGTAGCTTCGGTTTTAATATTATTAATAATTTCTTTTAAACGTTGAAATTTTAAACGATTTTCCATAATATCTGGTATTACATTATTTTCATAAAACCCTTGACTCTCGTGAGCTTTGGAATAGAGTTCAACAAAGTGGAACCCTGGATATAGAAACAGATGAAAGAAGCACTTAAGGACTTAAAAAACCGAAGATCGGCTGGTAAAGATGGAATACAGAATGAATTATTGAAGTACGGAGGTCCCAAGCTAATTAGAGAACTAACAGCGTTTATAAACAAGATAATACGAAGACCACAAATACCGGAAGATTAGAGGAAAAGCATAATGATGCCACTTTTTAAAAAGGGAGAGAGAGACAACAAAAGTTATGACCAACAAAATAACTCCACTTGTAAAACTCTTTAAAGAACACAAGGTTTCAGAAGTGTGTTATTCTTCATAGATGAAGAAAAAACATTCGATAGAGTGCAGCTAGAGGACGTGATACATATACTTTATAACAGAAATATCCCATTTGATATAATAAAACTAATCGAAAATATATACAAAAGAAATAAAATAGAAGCAACAGTAAATTCAGAACTAACAGAGCATATAGATGAACTATAGGTATTAGGCAAGGAGATTCACTAAGGACCTTATTATTTAATGTTATATTAGACGAAATAACTAAACAAGTAAAAACAAAAAAGTGCTATAAAATGGGTAATAAAGAAATACAAGTGCTGCTTTACGCCGACGATGCTGTATTGGTAGCTGAGAGTGAAGATGATTTGCAGAGGCCACTACAACAGTTTAATACAAATGCAAAGAAATTTAATATGAAAATATCGGCCAAAAAAACTAAATCACTAGTAATCTCTAAAGAACCAATTAGATGTAAGCTGGAACTTGATAACCAAATTATAGAATATCAAAAATTTAGGAATGAGATTATCATATGATATTAACATAGAGGATGAAATAAGAGAACAAACTGCAAAAGCCAATAGAATCGCGGGATGCCTAAACGATACGATATGCAAAACAAATGAAATGAAAATATTAAGGAAAATAGCAGAGAAAACAATCTATATAGAAACAAATGAAAACATAAGAGATATGTGGAATTGAAAACATTAACACCTGGACAAGAAATAGAAAGCAAGAATGGAATCAACATATAGATGGAATGTCTGAACAATGGATACTGACATAGCAAGAGATAAATCGCCTGCCGGTCGGAGGAGTATATTACGCCCAGGAAAAAGATGGAACGACAATTTGGGATAGAAATTACATTGGAGTAAGACAGGCAGAAGTGCCTAATATAGAAGAAGAAAAAGAAGAAGAAGAAGTAATCATTAATAACATCTACATTTACAGCTATTAGGGTAGTATGTTTTCTCCCTTCCAACTGCAGCGGTAACCATATTTTTAAATCTTTTGTAATTGCCAAAGTCAGCGGCAATTTAAGTGTGTTTCCTTTTAGTAAACAGTTATCTCTAGTTGGCAGACTCTGTGGTTCCTTTGCATACCTAATGAGGTTTTACTGCTCCACACCTTTCCGAAATAGACTATAAACACGAAACGAGAGTTGTGCAGTGCGCGACCAAGTGATCGACGTAATCGTAAATTTCGTTTTTATAGTTGACTAATTGGGTGTATAAAAACGACCGGGGAAAACATTCGAGAACGATCCGAGAGTTCGGATTTCAATCCGGACGGATTCGTCACGGAGACGGGACGAAATTGGACACGGTCTGAGCCCTCAGCGTAATAAACGTCAATGCACCCTAAAGACTATCTGTCATCTGGATACCGAGACAAATTATTTAAGCCAGGGAGTTACTGGCTCCGGCGTACGCTTTGATCGTCCACGCGGCAGCCTTTGCAAATTCTCCGCAATGTCATATTTCGTAACCAACGGACTTTTTGACAGTGGGGACAGCGCCGCATTTACATACCTGGGGGTCCTAGGGCACTCAAAAATTGGTGCACCCCATGACAGTTTTTGTTTCTTTTTTAACAATACTAGTATAATAAAAATGTTACGTCATATTTTATTTTTAAAAAATATAAGATATATAAAATCATGCCATCTTTTTGATTTGGAATTTAAAGACTCGCCAACCTGTAGTAACTTTATTTATAAATATTTTTCGACTGATAGGGATTCAACATTGGCTAGAGTAAAAATAGTAAGTTCTTTTTGAAATTATTTATGCGACTTCAACCAAATAAATGTTTTTTTAAATTTTACAAGATGTTACAGACTGCAGAGAGTGTAAGTTCTTTTTTAAATAATTCTATTTTCTGATGTGGATGAAAATGGATAAGTACATAACGCATATCGTTAAACCCTACTTTATGTAGGATATTTGAAAAAATTTTATATAACCATTTGATAATTTAATTATACCAAAAACTCAAAGCGTTTTCCGAAAGAATTTTGCGACAACTAATTCCTTATCTATTTTATCTATCTTATCTATCTATCTATCTATCTATTATTCCTAATCCCTTATGAGTGTGACCGACGACATTTTGCGTGCTTAATTAAACTATTATGGTTCTGATAAT